AAAATTGATAGAAAAATAATTTTAAACGGGTTTCAATCTATATAATTTTTTTAGTTGTCAGTTAAGAAGAATATTTTCTGTACATAAAGATTATCAAAAATCACATTTTTATAAATATAGTAAGTTAAATTAAACTAATTTTTATGGATTTTATCGCGTTTACTTTAACTTTTTAATTCCCGACGTTTCGGGTGCTTTGTAGCACCCATGGTCACGGGAGGACTGAGGTGTTTGGTTTTTGAATATTAATTTTGGTCCGATCTACGCAGAATGAGCTTACAGTATCTTGATGTCTTGCAGCGGTATGCTTGGGTTGGATTTAATTTTATTAATTATAGGATCCCAAGCAGATTGCAGCACCCGTCCATCTTCTCTATTGAAATTAGGATGTTTTTTAATTTAATAGCCTCGCGAATCATCCTTGGTAGGTGTTCTTTTGCGTGGATTCGTGGTCTATCAAATCTAATGTAATGGCGGGGACGATCTTGAACATGTTCACAAACTGCAGACTTCCCGGAACGGCGGTGCTTCAAGTTAAACGCTTATAATTTTTTTATAGATGTTTAAATTGCCACTTATGTCTCAAATTTTTCTAATTCAGACTGTTCCAATTGTTTTTACAATTATTAAAAAAAGTTCTGCCGAAAATAAGTTTTCGCTTTTCCTCGATCTTTTTTTCGAATTTCTCAAAATTGTTATTTGTATAGTTTTTCATTGTTACATAAATTACACAAGTCTGAAACACCGTAATTATTTTATCAAATAAACTAACAGAAACCAGAAAATAAATTATCTATGTTAATTTTAGTGAAGATGGTCCGTTGTTTTTCATTCGTCTACATAATTTTTGCTTGAAGTTTCCGTAGTTTGTAATGTATTTTTTTAGTATCTATCCACAAATATTAAAGTGTAAATTATTTTATTTGTTTTTTACTACAAATAAATTAAATTAAAAGAAAATAATTAATTTTTAATCAATTTTTACGGTACTTTTTCCTTATATGTGCAGCTTGATTCGATGTTATAATACAATTGAATTTACAACAAGAATTTTTTAATTAATTTTTTCCCAAAAAAATGATCTATTCTATGACAAAAACAAAAATTTTCGATCCTCTTTAGAAGACTGCAGATTAACGGATATTTTGAAATAGCATTTACGAAATTCTACGAAATTTTTATACTAATCTACGGATTTTGAAAAATTCGATTAAAGGTCCCCGGAACGGGTATTTAGAACCGGTACATCGGAGCCCAAACCGGAACCGATACTGGAACTGGAACCGTACCGAAAAGAGGAATCTTTATAAGAACCTAAATGAAGAACCAGAATCGAAATTGGTACCGGTATTCAATCGCAAATCCAAAGATCCTCACAGTGAGTCACTAGGGTTCTTGCATTTCATGAAATTTAAAATTAACGCTAGGTGGCTAGGTAGGCTATCAGATGACTTTTTTACCACGAAGAAAAATAGGGTGTAACTGGTGAACCATAGAATAGGCGGCTTATGCCAATTTAAGACGCCGTTTAAGTCTCGTGGTGTCACTGTCACAGTCACTTTGACAGTGATAGAGACAGCGCGAGACTTGACGGCGTCTTAAAATTTAGTAACGTTTGAATATTGGACAATAAATATTTTTAAAATTTATTGTTTTTATTGACATTTTATAAAAATGAACTACCATTAAATAATACTAATTTGAAGTAAACTTTTACCTAGTAGCGACCTGTTTAAGATTAAGGGCTAGGTATTCATTATTACTTGCCACAAGTAAAGTAGGGTGCACATGATTTGAATTTATTTTATATTATTATATGGCTTTTTTATTTTTTATATATTAAAAACTTCTTTATGGTAGTAAAAATCAGCCTGTTTATTGATATAATACTCGTATGCATACATACACATTATACAATATATATTCGCAATTATTTTGATTTAAATCCTTAACGTATCAACAGCTATTGGCAGCCATGGACTTGGGTCCATCATGTTAACGTATTTCATTCTAGATGGCTGGATCTGCGATTGGTTTTGGCCCATTTTCATCTTTTGTTCGATGTTGCCGTCCTGCGTAGACATCACTACTGCTATATATACTCTGTGTTCTCTGAAGTGGTGAAATAAAAATATATGAAGATTATTTCTGTTAGTTGTGCGAGTGGATAAGATTTGTGTATTAATGCAAAATTGGTGTTATAAGTGCGCACACATACTGCGTGTTGACTTTATTGGAAATAAAACTAATATAGAATTAATATTTACTTATTTATAGGTGATTTCGTCTACCTTACATTTTTTGTTTACCCTGCAAAGAATTACAACATATATACTTATTTTTTATAGTGATAAATATCAAAACCATACGTGTTTATATATCTTATAGAATAAAGTTAAAAATTTCCTGTACAAAATATACAACGTAATGTATAAATAATTAGTAAGCCTTCGCGATCCCTTAAGTTGGCTTTTTCACAATCAGCTACTACTGAAAAGATTTCTGAATTTTTAATATATTATTATTATTATTATTTTCTTCCAAGAATACTTTGTGATCAATAAATTATAGTCACATTTAGTTAAGCTGTAAAGCTAAAGGAAAACGAGTTGTAATTTTCTTACTACAGCTTTAAAATGTAGGTACCTAATTCTCTTATAAGGTCGGGGATTCAGAGACAATATCGAGCTTAAACTCGAAACTTACAGTGCCATAATTTGTGTAAAATAATTATGGTCTTTACTTATATTTTGATATTATGAAATTTAAGTTTAACGAGTTTAAAGTTCAAACTTTAAACTCTAGACTTTCTGAATTACCGGTCTTAGCGGCCAAAAAGAAACAAATTTAAACTCATCCTTTACTCCAACAAACACTGATTTGTATTGTAGTCCAAGCCCATCCCTTTCGTCATTCCCGTCAAAAGGGACGAGAAGACGTTCCAAGGATGCATCGTGAACGGTGTAGTGGCAGCGTAAGAATATCCACTACCTACTATCATCCCGTAGGTGTCATAAGAAGTGACAGAGAGAAACAAATTCAGGAGCTGGGCAGCATCATCCTCCTGATAACAACTTAATAATAAAAACTGCGGTTGTCGTAACGCCTGCCAAGCGTGCAATTTTTTGGCATAGCTTAGGAAGGGTTAAGTTCAGCAGTATGTTTGTTGAAAGGTTGTGATGATGATGACAATTATTATTATTATTATTTCTAATTTTTTAAATAAAATGATAAATTTCATAACATATTTTTTTATACAATTAAGGATACTAACAAGTCCAATAGTAAGTCGATTCTGAAGCCCTTAAACACTTACATCTCGATTAAGTATCAAAATGCGGATTTGTTATCCACGTCTAAGTTCTTGCCATTCTCTCTATATAATACACAGCTGCATCATACTCCTATTTTATACTGGTATTTTGTGTGAGCGTGGTCCTTCTCAGGTCGAGCCAAACCCATTCTTACTGCAATCATATTAAGACGTCGTGGTTCCACACTCATCGCTTTTTTTTATAGGATTAGAGTGACAAACGAACACACAGTTCACCTGATGGTAAGTGGTTGCTGCGGCCCATAGACATCTACAACTATCCTCGTTTGCGAATCAAAACGCAGATGCGTTGTCACCCGTGAGGACTAAGATGGAATGCCTCATTTCCAGTAAAAAGGGCCTCCGGCCACCTGCTCTCACCAAGCGAAACGCAGAGGTAAACCTCTACTTCACGCTGGTACTCTGTGAGGTCGTGGTACCACCCCGGTTTGAGCCGGCCCATCCGTGCGAGAGCAAAAGCTGCCGCGTGGCTCTACCACTGTTAAAAATTATATTTCGAATTTGCTTTGCATCATGTGTACTTAAATCATATTTCGAAATATGAAAATAAAAGCAAATACAACTACAACAAACACAATTGTGAAAGTCTTTGAAGCGGCATGTCTTCGGTCGCATACAAAGACAACCAGCGCGTGTGTAAGAGAAACCTATCACGCACACACCCGTCAATTCTGGCCCATATATTTAAACGTATTTACAGCCCGTCGGGATATCTAGACATTATATGATTTAAGTATGTGTATTATAATTACAATCAACATTCAAAATGGAGTATGTAACACATCGTTATGTGACCCATAAACACATCTAGCCCCAATCAACGTGGTAGAGCCATGCTGCAGCTATATTAATAGTATAGTTGTAACACGAATGGGTCGGCTCGACCGGGGAAGGACCACGCTCTCACAGAATACCAGCGTAAAATAGCAGCTTAATGCTGCTGTGTTTCGTATGGTGAGTGTAGAGAACCGGAGACCCTTTTTACTGGAAAAGAGGCATTTCATCTTAGTCCTCAAGGCTGACAACGCATCTGCATTTTGATAAATGTAGATGTCTATGGGCCGCAGCAACCACTTACCATCAGGTGGACTGTGTGCTTGTTTGTCACTCTATTACTATAAAAAAAATAGTAGATACGGTGTGTCACCCTTAGGAACTAAAATGGAATATCTCTACACCAGCAATAAAGGTACACTTAATTTTTATTATGATTATGAGATAAGATGCAGTAAAGATTGAATAGCACGGAGACAGCCGCAACAGCACCAGATTCGCAAACCAACAATTAGGTAAGTTAAATCTACTCGACACAGTTACCGCTTGCTCGGCGGTAAAGAAAAACATCGTGAGGAAATTTTTATTAAAATAAATAACCATCTTTAAAACCCTTAAAAAATGAGGTCTGTTGCTGGACACAATGGCACAGTTGGCTGAGACAGTCCCCATGTACTTATTCATAATTATATTTTGTAAGTTTATCTTTTGTTTATTTTAATCGACTTAGTGATTTTGGGGGTTGTAAAACAAATTGCATCATCACAATGATCTAACTGAGTTATATTCATCTAAGGCCTTTTCAAGATTGAAACTCAGAATCCGCGGCTCTGATTTTACGATCAATAAGCGAGACGTTTGTTTACATTTTATAAGAGATCTCTTGTTACAGATAGTAAACGAGCATCAGCATCTGACGCAGACTCTCGAATACAAACCAGGATGGTCGTTCTATTTAGTGCTCGCCGGTGTGGTCACTACTCTCGGCTCCTCGCTGCCTGTTGGGTACAACATTGGTGTAGTGAATACACCTGCAGAGGTAAGACAACATGAACAACATATTTATATTTTTTTTTTAAAATAGTAGTAATGCTATTAAACATTACTAATATTCCCTTTAACCACTTCTGGTAAGCTTAAAACGCTTGTGTTAGAAGTGGTTCACGACAGTAGTTGAATGGCGGATTCGAACCCACGACCTTCGAGTTCGCGGTCCGCGCCTTGCCATTAGGCTACTAACGTTTCAACATATTAAACAGTAAGCCTGTCCGCGAAATGGACACAATAGTTAAACAATTGAAATGTTCATATATAATTCATAGGATAGGGAAGGGGTCAAGACTCTGGGTAGGTACCTACCACTCTTTCATCTATTTCTGCCGCTAAACAGCTGTGTATACACTGCTGTGTTACGGTCTGAAGGTTAGACCAGGAGTTCCCAAACTTTTAAAGTAATGGAACACATACCAAATCCCTTTTATTTTATGGAAACATTATTTTTTATTATTAGATTACATATCATAGACAATACAATTGATTTATTATAATATAGTTCTCGCTAACTACACCTATGTATCTATATAACAGTAATAGGTTGTTCTCATCACATATTTTACGTCAATTCAAAATAATATTTGTACGAAGTGTTAATTTTAACAAGCAAAAATAAATAATTTCGCGTAACCTTGATGACTTTTCCACGGCACCCTTAGGTTCCGCGGAATCCACTTTAGTAGTCTCTGGTATAGACAAACAGTATAATTACAAGCTGTGAGGCATTTCGTCTTAGTCTTCAAAGGTGACAACGCATCTGTAGTGTCTTTGTCTCAACTTGGTTGCAGATATCCATGTGCTGCAGTAGTCACTTGCCATCAGGTGGACTTTAAATTCGTTTGTCACTTCCATTTTGCATGGCCTTTACTAAGTCGCGTCATTTAGATCTTAGGCTTCCCGTTTTTTCTATGTCTTCCGGTTTCAACGATATGTACAGAGCCAGGATAATATTATAATATTAAACTTATAGGCTTTTTCTTTTTCACGAGTCTGTAAAACTCCACGGCTGGATATGAGCCTTTTCCGTCATTTTAAGCGTTATGCTTGGTAGATACATTGAAGAACGCAGTACCAGATGTTTCGCACTTTGTTCTCTGTTGCCGGTCTCAATATTTTACGCCTGGCGTAAAAGAGGTGGTTAGAACGCCGTCTACCGATAGCCATATGGTCTTTCTAGCGTATCTAATAGTCTTCTCTTACTTCACTCACAAGATGAAATGGGGTGCCTCCCTTACGTCTCCATAAGGCTTAATATAGGCCTCCTTCAAGCAATGCTACAAAACACGGTTCAGTGCCACCTGCATGTCGATGAATGTAGGTCTTACCACGTCGCTACTCTATCTTGTGCGGAAGCTGCTCTTCACTTCGTTTACTGGTACGAGGCTGCCTCTCGAGAACCTTTCTTTGCCATCGGTTGTCGGTTCTTCGAGCTATATGGCCGGCCCTTGCCACGTCATTTTACTGCTGGTTATGGCCGACTACTCTGGTTCTCTGCGTATATCTTCTATGAAGTTAATTAAAATAAAATTTATTTACATTTAATTGAATTTGGTAATATTAAATTGTTTTAATATATTTTCCAGGTTATCAAGACATTTTGCAATGAAAGTTTTGTAAGCCGCTATAATTTACCTCTAGACGAGACATGGCTCAACGTCCTTTGGTCTTCCGTAGTGTCTATATTTATAATTGGCGGATGTACTGGATCCGTGCTCGGTTCCGTCCTGGCGAACAAACTTGGCAGGTATTGTCTAAAAAAATATTTCATTAAAATTCAAGTTTAAATAATAAACCAGTAAAACACCGACGCAAATATCTATATCCAACGAATTCAACCGTCAGGTTGAAGTCTTGTCAGCTGACAAGACTTAAACCTGAACGGTTCTGAATTTAAATCTAGCAAGAAAACCTTAAATGAAGGTAGCTACCTTATATAACATAATAAGAAGGATGGGTCTTGACTTACTTTCTTTATAGGATAAGTGTGACAAACGAGCAAACAGTACTGCTGATGGTAAGTGGTCGCTGTGGACCATAGACATCTACATCTATCCTCGATTACATATCGAAATGTAGATGCGTTGTCACCCATGAGAATTAAGATCGAATACCTCGTTTCCAGTAAAATGGGTCTCCAGTTTTCTACACTCACCATATGAAATACAGCAGCGTTGAGCTGCTATTTTACGCTGGTATTCTGTGAGAGAGTGGTCCTTCCCCGGTCGAGCCCGACCCATTCGTGCTACAACTATACTACTACTAATATAGCTGCAGCATGGATCTACCATGTAAATACTGTTGGGCGCCACCATTAATGCCTGGTACATGGCAACACTAATTACCACTAGAACCCTTTAGTATCGAGTAGCAGAACTAGGAGAGTCAAGATCCTTCTAGAAATTTTCATGGAAGAACTTTCTAGAACTATTGACACCTAGTCAGTCGGGACCGGTATGTACTCGAACATTCTAGATGTTTCTACAGGAGAAGGTTCTGGAAATTATCTAAGGCCCTATATAAGGCCGATATAGACCGCGACCCGATCAGTGTTGAGTTGGCGCACACACGGTCGTGCACTATAATCCTGTCCTTCCGTGATGGCTAGTATCCGTTGAGACTGGCCGTTGTGACCGAAATTCGGTTTGGCGGACATTATTATTAAGGAGAATTTGTTGTGCCTAAGTTGCCACGCTTAGCAAAAGTATCAAATCATTATATCTATCGGGATACATCAAAATCTTTCGGATCGACTGTATAAGTTACTGATAGTTAAGTTCCATACAGTTCCCATTAATATGTTACTAGAAGTAAATTAAATGTAAAGAACGAATTTTTTACAGTAAAATAAGAAGTCCCTTGGAAGCCAGCACGTCTGATAATTAGAGATATAATATCGAAAGCATATAAAAATACAACATAAAATGGAGCTGCGAGTTACATTCACTGGTACTCCCCTAATTAATTTTTATCCTAAATCCTACAATCAAACTAACATATAAACAACCTTACCTCTTTTCATTCGACTCAAAAAAGGAGGAGGTTCTTAATTAGACTGTTTTTTTTATGTGTAACACACATTTTCCGAACTTTTTTCTAGGTGAACTACTTATGTGGTCCCGATCAATTCATTCTGACCAGTAGTTTTTGAGTTATTCTTAATAATGCGTATTTAATTAATTTCGACTACATTGATGATGTTCTCATGTTATTTATATTTAAGTCAATTGTACGAAATTTTTAATTTTACCACATATTAATGAGTGTAGAAAGTGTAAATTGTAAAGTTTGCTGCTGATTAAAAATTTAGGCGTCTTTGGTTCCAGGAAGAATGCAACTATAGTGACAAGTGCCTTATCTATTGCTGGTGCGCTGTTATTTCTGCTGTGCCGTGCAGCTAACTCTGTTGAAATGCTCATTGTTGGAAGGTTACTGGTCGGTTTGTCTGCTGGTAAGTTACGTCCCGTGTAAATGCTTACGTTAAGTTACTATATGTATAGTGAATATAAGCTTTTGTTATGTTAAGACTAAGAATTCACCATCTAGGGCTTCATCACCACTTACCACCAAGTGGGACTATAGTCAAACACTGGCTAATACGTTATAATAAGTAAAAAATGTGTTCCCTGAAGTCAGATAAAAGATAAGGAAGTTGGAAAATATTGTAACCGAGGGTTCACACCATCTTAGTTATCAACCATAGTTTACCTATATATACAGGGTTATTTTTCAAAGCGTAGCCAAATTTTAAATTTAAGTAAAGTATTGCAGTTTAAAGTTTAAAAATACGAGTAAATAAGGCTTCTACTTTTTTTTTAAATTATCCCAAATCGAATGTGATTTACGGGCACCAACGTTTTGCACACCGATGGACCTTTACGAATGTGTGCGTGCGCATTAAAATTCAGTTAAAATAATGCATTACCACGCATTATGAATTTAAAAGTTAAAAAGGACAGATGAGATTTTTTTATTAATTTTTCTTCGTCATTTGCCTATATTACTTACTACTACTGAACCTTAGCTGAAAATTTGGCCGGTTATTGCAAAATAACGAACACGAAAGATGGTGTTATAATAACCAACACGCTTACTCGAGACGTGAAATACCCAGATTGACGACGGGCAAAAGCGACAAAGGTGCAAGACGTCTGATATTGCGATCGTCAACTCGTCCGCCAAGCCTGACCATCAAGGCAGGGTTTAGGTAGGATTTGCCCTACCTACACCTGGAGAGTCCAATGCCTAGCAGTTGTCTTTTACCGGATGATGAAGAGGCAATAAACGAAAAATTAGTTGCCAAAAGTAAAGTGACGTAAGTGACATGCCTTTGGTAACCACTTGTCGTTATATCTGGATGTATTTAAATCTGGAATAATTGAAATAAATCACGAGTTTATTTGTGAGGATTGCACAAAATACCTATTGTTTAAATACCTATTGAACAAACTTAATTTAAGAGAATTTATTTAGAATGTAGAAAAAATATTTGCTTCACAAATTAAAAAAAAAATTATCTTTACTGTCGGAATAGTATTTGAATAAAAAAGTTGTGACAGACTGCCAACATACGGGTATGACGAAACTAAAGAGGTTTCTTCTATTTTTGACTACCTTGAGAATTGCAATATTTTTTCAATATCTTTCCAGGGCTAACAACAAGTATCGTGCCCATGTACCTTACGGAGTTGTCCCCATTGAGACTATCTGGTGCGATGGGTGTCGCCTGTCCAATGGGTGTCAATGTGGGCGTCTTAGTCGGCCAGGTTATGGGGTTGAACTTCTTTTTGGGTAAGCACTTTATTATATTTTTATATTTAGAATTTAGACCAGGTTTAGGAAAGAAATGCTTCGGTTCGAAAAAATATATGGACATGCAGAAAGAATGAACGAGAAAAAAACTAAAAAGTAGTGTGGCTCTGACAAGCCACATCGGGTAAATTTTAGCAGTTAGTTTTAGGAGTCTGGCATAATTGCGGTGCGATAGAAGGTATCCCTACACTAGACTTACAAACTTTCGACCAATTTTTATTAACCTTTTAGTTTATACTTTACGTGGTAGAGCCATGCTGCAGTTATATTAATTGTATAGTTGTAGCACGAATGGGTCGGCTAGATTGGGGAAAGATCTCACAGAATACTAGCGTAAAGTAGCAGATTAATCATGTATTTCATATGATGAGTGTAGAGAATGGAGACGCTTTTTACTGGAAAAGAGGCGTTCCATCTTAGTCTTGACGGCTGACAACGCGTCTGCATTTTGATTCGCAAACGAGGATAGATGTAGATGTCTATGGGCCACAGCGACCACTTACCATCAGGTGGACTGTGTGCTCGCTTGCCACCCTTATCCTATAACAAAAAACTTTGCTAATGATCAAATGTTTTGTTGCAGGCGGCGTCGACGACTGGCCTTATCTTCTATCCGTCTACGCGATGCTAGTCATTATTTGTTTACCTGTATTATGTATTTTACCAGAAAGTCCAAAGTACCTGTTTATTATTAAGAGAAATGAAGTTACGGCGGTAAAAGGTAAATATATTGTTTAAATTATAATATGAGAAGTAGTCCTTCACTGCTGGCCGTATGAGGAAGCTCAAAGTTGCTCAGCGAGCTATGGAGAGGACTATGCTCGGGGTTTCTCTGCGTGATAGACTTAAAACGAGGATATTTGCAGTAGAACCAGAGTGACCGACATAGCCCAACGGATTAGTAAGCTGAAGTGGCAATTGGCCGGCCATATAGCTCGAAGAACTAACAACCGATGGAGAAGAAAGGTTCTCGAGTGGCAGCCCCGTATTGTCAGGCGAAGTGTAGGGCGTCCCCCTACTAGATGAAGTGACGACCTGGTAAGAGACCTGCAGGAAGTCCTGGTAAGACACGCGACTGTGCTTTGTGACGTTCCTTGACGGACGCCTATGTTCAGCAGTGGACTTGTGAAGGGCTGTAACGATGATGATGATAATAATATATTTCATTGTAACGAATCTTTAGAAAAACAACTGTACTATAGTAAAACATGAACCACTAGACAGACAAATTAGGTATTAGTGAAAACATCACGTCCCGTGAATATCCGTAAAAGGCCGTTAAAGTAGTCTAAACCGTCAGATATTCTTGTGTCATAAGTTAGATGACGAAACAACTCTTAAAATCTTATATAAATAATAATCTCTCAAATTATGAAGAGAAGCTTTTTGGGGTGAGAAGCGTATAGTATTTGTTATGTACTGGTAAAATAGAGTCGCTTGGTTTTCCAACCATTCTAGGACGGTTTTATGGCGATAGCTTTTTGAAGTCTCCCACGATTATGAGGATATGTAATGAAATATTCACTAACAATTATTATATGTTTTTAGAAACCAAAGAATATCATCATATTATATTTTTACCTGAGCAAAGCTTATTTTATTTATCTGTATCAACTGCTGGACTTGGACTTCCTACCAATCGCAGTATCAGATGTCTCATAACCTTCAATGTCACTCCTCGTCGCTAGTCTCGCTTCATTTATTCATGGATGAATGAATGTCATCTGTCCGTTACCGTTAGTCTCGTGGCTCAACCGATTTTGATGAATTATTTTCGTGTACATTTGAGTGGGTCTCTGGATGGTATAAAAACTCATTTGGACTCGGTAGATGGCGCTGTAAAGCCGGGGCGGATCGCTAGTCATGAATAAAAGAATCCTTTCAAGAAGAATGAACATATTCATGCTTTATATTATATATACAGAAATATTTGCCGTGTGATGACAGGGTAAGAAAGTTTATCACTGCATTTCGTTCTTATGTGTTGCGTAAGAGGTGACTATGGGAATACCAAAAATACCTCGAAACTTTCGATAGATAGCGTTTTCCGGTTTACGCTGGACGTAAAATAACGATGGGTTTAGCCAAAATAACTTTCTACGATAGTTAACGCCATAGAAAACTATAAAATATAATGGGAATGACATAACTGAATGTTAAGACATGTGACAGTCGCGTGGCTTAGCGTTGATTTCATGCAAAAAGGGTCAATTCTTAAATTTACACGAATGCACGTAGTAGAGCCACGCTGCAGTTATATTATGGTTGTAGCATGAATGGGTTGGCTCGATCGGGGTGGGACCATGCTCTCACAGAATACCAGCGAAAAATAATCGGAACCGGAGACCCTTTTTTCTGGAAGTGAGGCATTCTGTCTTAATCCTCAGGGGTGGCAACTTATTCGCATTTTGATTCTCAATTGAATATAAATGTAGATGTCTATGGGCTACAGCATTCACTTACCATAAATTAATTGGATTTTTTGGTAAGTAATTTAATTTAATTTATTTTTAATTCTCGACTAGCTACGGAAGTCTATCGGTACTGTAAAATATTCGAAAAGCTTAAATTATTTTTATTGAAAATATAGTGTCTTATCATAGTAAACATTTACAAATTTTGGATAAATATCACAGATTATCTCTATTAGATCGTACTCCAGTTTTTATCTTTAAGTATACCTACGTACCACACTACACCTCTGTGACGAATCTATGGGGGAGAGCTATTTTCAGCAGTGGTATTTTAATTGTATATATTGTATAAACGAATGAACGTGTGCGCGCAGAGCTGAGCCGGCTGCGCGGCGTGTCGCAGAGCGTGCTGCGCGACGAGCTGGACGCGCTGCGCGAGGAGCGCGACGAGCGGGGCGGCGCGGGGGCGGGCGCGGGCGCGGGGCGCGGGGAGGGGCGCGCCTGGAGCATGGCGCGGCTGCTGGCGTCGCGCCGCCTGCGCCTGCCGCTGCTGCTGCTGTGCGCCGCGCAGGCCGGCCAGCAGACCAGCGGCATCAACGCGGTACGTCACCACACTAATACTGCTAACAGTCGGCCATCGAAGGTAAACGTACGGGCAAATGTGCCATGCGGTGCGGCCCGAGACGCGGGCTGAGCACTTCCCGATCGGCTAAGGTCTGCTAGGGTTGTCCCGTCACGCATATAAATTACAATGGTTCACACTACATGTGCAGTAAAAAACTGCGGGTCGTCCTCATTCAAAGATAAGGAATTAGTTTTATCAGTTTCCACATACAAATTAATTTGTATAAACGTGAAATAAAATAAAAAAGTTTTTAATTTTTTTTTATTACTTCCCGTTCTGACAACCCTAGCAATTTATTGTTTATGCTGGCTTTCCCGACAACATCGAACGCGATGACTGACTGAATATTCTCCTTAGGCTGTGACCATACTGCCCACTCTCGAACTCTCGTTAAAACGTACGCAACATACGCTTTATATACGCGCATACCTACCATACCCACATGCGTACGGTATGCGTGCCCTTAAACGTGACGTTGTATGTGTGTGAATTAAAATACGACACACCAGTTTCTCTGCTTAAAGCAAATGAAGTGTGTATTGAAATCTAGACGAGGATGAGATTAATCGCGTCGGTGAGGTATGTGGCTTTTCTGTATGTAAGCTAAACTACGCGCACAATTTTTTTAATAATACTAGTAAATTTATATAAAAAAAAAATATGAAAAAATATTTGCCAAATCATGTTTTAAATAGTTTAATAGGCATTGAATCACGGGACAACTGTGTTTTGTATTTTCATCTTAATAATATTTTGTAACTTTAAAAATTAGTATTACAAGTCAATTGAAGAGCGCGGGAAAGTACATCCAAACAACACTCATTGATCAACCTTGCTATCATTCGTTTCTTAATTTTGAAACTGTTTATTATAATGCTATTATATTGCATATTACTGCACTTGCGTGAGTTTTTAAATACTAGAAAGTATCAATCATCTAATTTTCATATTATGACGGCTATCACCTTATTTTGTCCCATGGCTGTCGTACGTAAGAGGTGACTATGGAGAATGTTCCAAGAAATGTCACGACTTCCGTTAAATGGCTGTAACCATCTAATTTACAACATACGTAAAATACTCAGGTGGGAGAGGGGCAACAGATTCAAATGTTTAAGAATGTTGGGACTGCGATCGTCAATGCGCCACCCAAGCGCAACGATTTAAGCGTAACGGAAGAGGACCATATATTATAGTAAAAATTTTTTAATAAAATTATCAAAAAGAAGTGACAATCGAACTTGCAGTCTATCTGATACTAATTGGCTACTACAGATTATGGGTAACTCAAGTTTACAGATGTGTTGTTTGATATCTTTGAGGATTAACCGTCTTAACTATACCGTATGTAATTATTATAGATTTTTATGGGCTAACAATTCTGAGATTTTTATAGATATATAATTTTAGAGATTAGGGTTACAAACGAGCACACAGTCCACCTGATGGTATATATCTATTTTTTATTAAGAATCAATATGCAAGTATATTGTCATTCCTGCGGAATGCGAAGATGGAATGATCCGTTTCCAAAGAGTCTCGGGTTCTCTACACTCACCATACGAAACACACGCCATATGAAACACGCTACTATTATCCTCTTTCCCCATTCGTGATGCAACATTTAGCAACAGTTTTAACGTCGTCATGCTCGCTTCCAGGTGTTCTACTACTCGCAGACGATCTTCAAGCAGGCGGGGCTGACGGAGGCGGGCGCGCAGTACGCGACCATCGCGTGCGGGCTGGTGAACGTGTGCACGGCGGCGCTCATGCTGCGCCTGCTGCCGCGCGCCGGCCGCCGCCCGCTGCTGCTCGCCTCCTCGCTCGGCGCCGCGCTCGCGCTCGCCGCACTCGCCGCCGCCATGACCGCCATCGTGAGTCTCTTTGCCTCCACTCCACTCTAACTTAAAAAAAAAAACATATTTCAACACAATCATCTTAAATGCCTTTGTCTCCATTTTACTCTTAACTAAAAAAAAACATATTTCAACACAATCATCTTGAGTGCCTTTGTCTCCACTTCACTCTAATTTAAAAAAAAATTTCAACACAATCATCTTAAATGCCTTTGTCTCCATTTTACTCGTAACTAAAAAAAAAAACATATTTCAACACAATCATCTTGAGTGCCTTTGTCTCCACTTCACTCTAATTTAAAAAAAATATTTCAACACAATCATCTTAAATGCCTTTGTCTCCATTTTACTCTAACTAAAAAAAAACATAGTTCAACACAATTATCTTGAGTGCCTTTGTCTCCACTTCATTCTAACTTTAAAAAAAAACATAGTTCAACACGATTATCTTGAGTGCCTTTGTCTCCACTTCACTCTAACTTAAAAAAAAAAAAACATATTTCAACACAATCATCTTGAGTGCCTTTGTCTCCACTTCGCTCTAATTTAAAAAAAATATTTCAACACAATCATCTTAAATGCCTTTGTCTCCATTTTACTCTAACCAAAAAAAACATAGTTCAACACAATTATCTTGAGTGCCTTTGTCTCCACTTCATTCTAACTTAAAAAAAAAAACATAGTTCAACACAATTATCTTGAGTGCCTTTGTCTCCACTTCATTCTAACTTAAAAAAAAAACATAGTTCAACACAATTATCTTGAGTGCCTTTGTCTCCACTTCACTCTTACTTAAAAAAAAAACATATTTCAACACAATTATCTTGAGTGCCTTTGTCTCCACTTCACTCTAACTAAAATAAAAAATTTTAAAATTTATTACTGCTAATGTACCCGCTTGACGCCGCGCTCGCTCGACGAACTTGCCGCCGTGACTTCTACCCGACTTCGTGATAATATATGCCTCTACTTCACTATTTGTGAAAAAAAACTTCCAAAATTTGCTACTACTAATATCCTTGTTTGACGCCTCGCTCGTACTGAGCTTGCTCGCCGCCACCATGACTTTATTCGATGATCGTGATTTTTGCGATTCGCTAATTAAGGCAGGCAAAGTTCTTATATCATTCTTCTTACACCCTAGTCTGAATTGTATTTTGTTCACACAACTCTTCACAATATGGCATACGTCACGTTGCAAAGCATTGGGAGATATTGACAATAGCATAACCCAGTAAATAGTTGATGACGAAAATATCTCTAGGCCCTTAGGAGGATAAAAAAGCTAAGATTTACATCACAATCCAAACATCAAACAATCCTTCTTCTTTATTTCTTTCCTGAAAAAAATAGCCCAGAATTTCTTATCAGTTCTTTCTAGTAGAAATATTCGAACCAGTGTATTTTACATAATATTTTAAACACTTTGTAAAGACGCAAAGGCTAAAAATTATTATGCTGACCTCAGCCTCACCACTATTCTCGCTACTGACAATATATGAGTATGAGAAATGTGAGATTTGTGAGAATATCTGAGAATATGTGAGTATGTATCCACTATACGCTCTCCGCGACAGATATCTGATATCGTTTACGTGGTAGAGCCATGCTGCAGCTATATTAGTAGTATAGTTGTAGCACGAATAGGTCGGCTCGACCGGGGAAGGACCACGCTCTCACAGAAAACCAGCGTAAAATAGCAGCTTAACGCTGCTGTGTTTCGTATGCTGAGTGTAGAGAACCAGAGACCCTTTTTACTGGAAAAGAGGCATTGCATCTTAGTTCTCACGGGTGACAACGCATCTGCATCTTGAGTCTTTATTGAGGACAGGTGTAGATGTCTATGGGTCACAGTAACCACTTACACAGTACACAGTAATACACCATCAGGTGGACTGTGTGCTCGTTTGTCACTCTATCCTATGAAAAAATAAATAAATAAAGAAGTATACTATTAAGTTGAGGATAATTTACGATACGATTACGTACGTCCGTTAACAATCAAATACTGTACATGAGCCTCTTTTTTTTCTTTAACATTTGACCGTGTACCCGTGTAGTGGCGGTGTAAGAATATCCACTTTACCATATCGTCCCGAAGATATCGTAAGAGGCGACATAAGAAAACAAATCAAGAGATAGGCAATAGCGGTATCCCAATAACAACTAAAAATAAATGGTTGCTAACTCGCCTGCCAAGGCGTGGCAACTATACTATATATGGGGGTACCTATATATGAGACAATCTATGGTGGAGGGGTCTATATTTTGCATTGAACTTTTAGATATGTTCAATGCAAAATGTCAGGTGCAGCAGTTTCATCAACATTCAAATATTGATGAAACTGCCGCACCTGACAGGTGGATTAGCAATAACAGTACCAAGTGTCCGCACCTTTGAATGCCATGGGATGTACGACCGGACGACCATGTCTTGCGGAATAAAAATGATAATGATGCTAAACTTATTTTAGTAACTCGTAAATCATAGCAAATTAAAAAAAAATCTTCAGTAACAGCACACAATCAATTGTTAGAGATATGTATACATCTTATTTTTGACCCTAAAATCTACACCCTGTTGAGCACAGAATTAAAATATCCGAAAAACGGAGGTAACTTTGTGTGTTTTTTTTTCTATAAAGAAAATATCCTATTATGTACCTAATTGAAAAATTACAATACTTTGAATGATAATTAATTGTTCTTGGATATTTTTGTTTCCAGTTTTGAACTTGATTAACTATAATAATATTTAACTCTACTTTGTATGACTTCTTTATGCACAACGTTAATCAATATAAATTCTATAATTCATCCGAACGAAGCCACTGATTTAGGACGTTATTTATTAATATCAACATTAATGTGTCTTATTTCTGCTTTTCAGGATACAGTTTCGTGGATGCCTTATGTGTGTATGATCACAGTATTATTGTACGTCCTAGTCTACGGGTTCGGTCTAGGGCCCATACCGTATTTTATAGGTTCGGGTATGTAAAATTATTAACGCTTATTATTTTAAATAAATTTTCTTATTATAAACTAGCCACTCACCCCGAATTTGCTTGGGTATGATTTATTAATGTGGCGTTATTTAAGATAATCATCCAAGTTTTTCGAATAAAATATAGCCTAGATCACTCTTGGCATTGCATTGCTTCTGTTATTGACGTTTCATTACAATCGGTTCAGCCTTTCCGAAAACCAGCTCGGACGGAACGACAAATAGTAATTTTTGATTAATTTTATACGTGGTAAATCCATGCTGCAGCTATATTAATAGTATAGTTGTACCACGAATGAGTCGGCTCAACCGGGGAAGGACCACGCTCTCACAGAATACCAGAGTAAAATAGCAGCTAAACGCTGCTGTGTTTCGTATAGCGAGTGTAGAGATACGGAGACCCTTTTATCGGAAAAGAGGCAGTCTATCTTAGTCCTCACGGCTAACAACTCATCTGCATTTTAAATCGCAAACGAAGATAGATGTAGATGTCTATGGGCTCATTTATGTACATATTGATTGAAAAAGATAAATATGTCACATAACTTAAATATTGATTTGCAAAGTGTGAAATCAAAAATGAATATAATTAATGAGAATAATCCCTGTTTTCAGAGATGTTCGAAGTGGGTCCCCGGCCGGCGGGCATGGCGTGGGGCTCGCTGGCCAACTGGGGCGGCAACTTCCTCGTGGGCATGTGCTTCCCCACCATGCGCCGCGCCATCGGCCCCTACTCCTTCCTCGTCTTCTCTGCCATCACCGCCGCACTCTTCCTTTTCATCAGGTACGTACACTTTATGACACAAGCTTTGACAATATTTCTAATTACTTCCAGCGTTTAGCAAAGCATTCTTTAAATACGCTACCGCTTTTTTTATTTAAACTTTTATTAAACTATTCATATACAGCCTATCAACAGTCCCCTGCTGAACGTAGTCCTCCTCCATAGATTGACTCATATTTGTCAAAGTTGCCACGCTAGGCAGGCGCACTGCCAACTTATTTTGTGGAGTTGTTATCACTAAGATGGTGCTGCCCATCTGTTTTTCATATCCTTTCACCTCTTGTTGGCAACGGAGGTTTTTAGTTATTTTTAAGAAGATCCTGGATTGTTTCCCCTTGTCGCCTCTTATGACACCCACGGAACGATACACAATTTGTTCCAAAGTTCAGTATTTGATACCCAATGTAAGTTTGAAGAAAAGAATATTGATAAAAGGTCATGAGTTATTTCAAGGTACCTCATAAAATATTACGCATTAATTACAAACGATCTTAACGATACTTGAAGGTATTAGTTCGTAGTAAAAGTTCCACCTGAATACCAGCGTAAAATGGCAGCTTGACACTGCTGTGTTTCGTATGGCGAGTGTAGAGAAGAGAACCGGAGACCCATTTTACTGGAAAAGAGGTCCATCTTAGTCCTCACGGGTGACGACGCATCTGCATTTTGATTCTTTATTGAGGATAAATATAGGGTCACAGCAACCACTTACCATTAGGTGGACTGTGTGCTCGTTTGTCACTCTATCCTATAAAAAAAACCTACCTAGGCGAAGCCTTATATCCTAAAAAATATAACTAGATAATATAATCAAATTCAATAGACTACTTGCGATTCGTGACCGTGTGTTAACGGTGTAAGAATATCCACTACCCCATATAGCCCCGTAAGAGGCGACAGAGGAATACGGGAGATGAACAGCAGCGTCTTTCAAATAAGTAGAAAACAAAAAAACTGCGGTTGCCAACCCGCCTGCCATCCGTTGCAACTATGGCAAAAGGAGACATATGAGGCAATCTATGAAATCTATTAACTCTTCTGCCATAACGTGGCAGCTATGGCAAGTGTCCCTCTAAGTGTCTTCGTAATCTATATAAGATCTATGTTCTCCAGTGGACTTTAAATAAGTTATGAAAGTAAAATAATTAATAAGCTTTTATGAAAGTATCACATGTATGCAAAATTTTAACTCGATCGGTTGAGAATAACTGCTTTATAATTCATTTGCAAGATTAGACTCTAACAAACATATATTGTGAGTTAAATAAAGGCTTTTAATAAATGAATGACTCCTGTAGCGATCAAATACGTATTAGTTATTATAGTCCCATTAGTATGTGAGCGCTTGTATAGAAGAACTCATTCGCCGTCGTCCAAACATACCCGTGCCCGATGAGACGCTCGCTTGTGAGATAAATTTTACTCAACTTACGTGGATCACGTCATTCACGTGGTAGAGTGAGTCGAACACGAATGAGTCGGCTCGATGTAAAATTTAATCTCTTTTTTTCTCATAAAAGTAAAGTGACAAACTGACAAGCCCTGATGGTAAGTGGCTACTGCAGTCTATAGAAATCTGCAATTAACTTCAAACAAAGAAGGCTACAGGTGCGTTGTTACCTCTGAGGACTAAGATGGAATGCCTTGCAGACTAATTATACTGGCCTTCTATATATACCCTTCAAACCGGAACACAGTATTGCAAGCACTGCTGTTTGGCGACAGAAATAGGTAAGAGAGGGTAGAACCTACTCATACGGATTCCTGGGCAAATAAGGAGATTTCTAACTGAATAAATATAGCACTTATTTGTTATTGGTAATTGCTCAGCCCATGATTAAACGACCGCTTGTATTGGTTCTACAAAATATTTTTTCTTGGTTCTAGGTCGTACTTCCCGGAGACGCGTGGCAGTACGCCGGCGCAGGTGACGCAAAAGTGCGCACACGGCTTGCGGTCGAGGCCACTCAGTCCGCAACACACGCCCGTCTGACCGTTAGCCCCCACCCTTCCCAAAATCCGCTCCCTTCCAGTATATTCAAAACAACCTGTACTACCCCGAAATATCCGCATTCTCTCCCTACCCCAGCCCCCATTACCCCACCCGACACTCGACGCATTTCCTATCAACACAGCTGTGTTATAGCAGTACTAGTATTTTTAAAGTTGTTGTTTAATATTTACTCCGATCAAAGTGCGATTAATTGTGATCAAAAACTGAAATAGTGTTGACTGAAAACCATGCAACATAATATTTTTTTTGTGTTCTGGCCGCATAATTTAATTCTAATAATAAGATTTTCAGTTTTAGACGCAACACTTTTAAATATGTAATACGATCAAATGTTTAGTTTAATATGCATTGTTTATTACTATTAAAAATAATGTTTTGCTGATAACAAGCTGTAATATGTATTGTAAAGTTTCTTATTTTTTAAAAGCCAGTGAAAATATTACAGATCGAGACGCTATACGAATCTAATATTATATAAAGTACACAAAAGTCCATCCAGTTTATAATTATTGTCTAGTCCTAAAACTACGCATATATATACTACAAGTTGTACTAAAAGAAAGCTACTTTTCAATATTTTTAATAAGAAAAAAAAACTACAAATATACAGATTTAAGAAAATAATTTTTAAACAGGCGACCTTAATTCTTACACAGCAAATGTTTCCTTTTCGCAAAATGTGGTGTAATAATAGTTATGACACTTACTAAACACCACTAGATTATCTTAGATTGACTGCTAATAAGAGCCGATTAACATTCTTCAAAATTTTTGCAGTTGAATGAAATGAACCCATTTTCTCACGATGATTGCAGAATTAACATCTGACTAAACGCCGTCAAAGTATTTTTATAATCTCGCACATATAAATAACTACAAACCTTTTTTTTTACCTTTCGATCGACATAAGTTTCAAAAAACATTCACACAACCTATCAAATAAATACTTTCTTTTGTAGCACCTGTATATACGTATTGAGAAGGAAATAGTACGAGATAATGTGTGAGTGAGAGAAATAGAGAGAGATTCTTCGATATTTTTCAATGTGAAATTCACTGGTATTTTCTCAAGTTTTCTTGTTATGACGGTTATCAAACACGTAGTTTTACTTTTAGATTTATTGTACTTATTTTTACGGATATTATTTGAGTTTTGGTGAGGTTGAGGTGTTTCTTTATATTTAACTGCTGACTAAAAAGTACTTAGTATAAGATTTATAAGTAAGTAAGTAAGTTTTATAAGTAAGTTTTTTATTTTATAAGTTTTTTAGCTGGAATTTTAGACCATTAATTTATGTCTTACATAATACTGCCTTTTATTCTTAGCATCCAGTTGGATAATATACTAAAGGCTACTTACTTAAGTCATAAAAACGCACAATCACTGTTCCCAAATCTCTTAAATATAATATAGTAGAAAAATGTGCACAGTGCCAGGTCTCTCAGCATGTCTTCCAATACATTTGTAGGTCGAATGTGAAAATAGAACTAGAAAATAGAATTAACAAATCAGGCGTTACTTTGCGGAAATTCATTACATCAAAGTTGTTAAAAATTAATTTGCTTATATCCGTAAAATGAAATATTTTTTTTTTATAGAATAAGGGTGATAAACGAGCACAGTCCACCTGATGTTAAGTGGTTGCTGTGGCCCATAGACATCTACATCTATCTTGGTTTGCAAATTAAAATGCAGATGCGTTGTCAGCCGTGAGGACTAAGATAGAATGCCTCTTTTCCAGTAAAAAGGGTCTCCGGTTCTCTACATACGAAACACAGCAGCATTAAGCTGCTATTTTACCATGATATTTTGTGAGAGCGTGGTCCTTCCCCGGTCGAGCCGACCCATTCGTGCTACAACTATACTATTAATATAGCTGCAGCATGGCTCTACCACTAATTCCAGCACAGCTAAGTCTTAGTGGTCAGCCACCGCAGAGTCTACCTTGTGTACAGGCGAAACACGTGTCGTATTATCGACGGTGCTGTGTGGGAGTCTTTCCTTGTGGTGTTGGGAGTAATGGTGACAGGGATAGTGCCCGCATTTGAGGGAGGGCAGGAGATGCTCTTCTCACTACGTAAGACACATCATTTTATATCATTACGCGGATATAAGCAAATTAATTCTAACAACTTTGAAGAAATGATTATAACAGTGGTAGAGCCACGCGGCAGCTTTTGCTGTCGCACGGATGGGCCGGCTCGAACCGGGGTGGTATCACGCCCTCACAGAAAACCAGCGTGAAGTAGAGGTTTACCTCTGCGTTTCGCTTGGTGAGAGCAGGTGGCCGGAGGCCCTTTTTACTGGAAATGAGGCATTCCATCTTAGTCCTCACGGGTGACAACGCATCTACATTTTGATTTCTAATAGAGGATAGATGTAGATGTCTATGGGCCGCAGCAACCACTTACCAACAGGTGGACTGTGTGCTCGTAAGTCACCCTTATCCTATAAAAAAAATGATAATGATGAACACTGTACAGCAGACACGCCAAACACGCCGCCCTCTGCTCATTTGCCTGCGGCCCGATCTAAATTTTAGAGCAACCTCTTGAATGCACCTACAAGTAAGCAATTATTTTCCCTAATGAAAAGAAACAAGTCTCCCGCGTGATCTCGATTGATTGAATCGAAAAATTTTAAAGTAATTTTGCGCATCTGCACCCCCTCAAATAGGTAATTCAGTTAAAGACAAAAGGTGTCAAATTTCTGGGAAGACAGTATTTTGTATTTCTATCTCTCCCTTTTCCACTCTCTGTATGCAATGAGTTTTTTTCTTTATGGTTGGATTTTGTGGCCCAATCATTTTACGGTCTTTATGCATTTGGCCTTGCACATTGACAGAGTTTAGCATGCATGCTGTAAGTAAATAAACTATATTGTTCACATATAACACTATTTTTTTCCCAGACGGCTAATATATTTATTAAAGTAAATTTTTACTAGATGTCATGTTATTTATTACGTATGCACGTTGCCTTCATCTTCTTGCTTTTTATATTAACATTATTTCTCGTTCCCCAAAGGAATCCTTTTTAGGTTTAAGCTCGCCTTTGTACATTTTATAAACATGTTTTAAATTGTTAACATCATTGTGTAGAATAAAGAATGGACAAAAATGGAATTTACAAAAAATTTATTAGCTCTTTATTTGTTAAATTTGAATAAAATCATATTTTATAGCATATTGTTTTATTTACCGTGTTACGAACGCTCCACAGTACGAATTAAAATGTAAAATATTTATGACATGCAAGCATTGTGTAAGAAAAAATTAAAACTGTTTATACTTGCCATTATTACTTTTAATTTTGCCTTGTTGGTCTAGCCGTGTAGTGGCGGTCAAGAATATCCACTACCCCATATCCTCCCGTGGGTGTCGTAAAAGGCGACAAAGGGAAACAGCCAGGAGATGGGCAGCAGCATCTTCCTGATAATAGCCAAATGACAATAAAAAAACTGCGGTTGCCAACCCGCTCGCCAAGCGTGGCAACTATGGCAAATACCCCCCAATGATGAGAGCAACAAAAAAACGGCCCCCAGTCCCCGGCGGCCCCGCTATTCCTGGCGACCATGGTAACGGCGGGGCAGGGGGTGCTAAGAATCTCCGGTGGAGGTTCGGTTGCCACCTTAGACGACTCGACCTGGCAACGTACAACGCACGCACCCTGAGGACTGACGAGAAGATCGTGGAGCTGGAAGAAGCGATAGACAAGTTGCGCTGGCATATTATAGGATTATCAGAAGTCCGAAGAGAGGGGGAGGACACGGTAATCCTCGAATCCGGCAACTTGCTCTATCACCGGGAGGGCGACCATCTGTCCCAAGGAGGTGTCGGATTTATCGTCCACAAGTCTCTCGTTAACAACGTTGTAAAAATCGGGAGTGTGTCGACGAGGGTTGCGTACCTTATACTCAGAATCACCAAACGGTATTCGCTGAAGGTCATACAGGTTTACGCACCAACCTCGGCACACCCCGATGAGGAGGTGGAGGAAATGTATGAGGATATCTCTAGAGCCATGCATTCCTCCAAAACCCAATATACGGTGTTAATGGGAGACTTCAATGCAAAACTAGGCACAAGAGAGAACGGTGAGCTGAAAGTAGGGAAATTTGGAATAGGGCAACGGAACCCAAGGGGCCAGCAGCTGGCCGACTTCATGGAGAAAGAGGGACTCTTTATGATGAACTCTTTCTTCCAGAAGCGGCCCCACAGGAAGTGGACCTGGTCGAGCCCCGACGGTTCCACAAAAAATGAGATTGACTTCATTATGACGACCAGACGACAACTGTTCAGTGATGTCTCCGTGATCGCGAGGGTGAAAACTGGTAGCGATCACCGAATGGTTAGAGGCACACTGAACCTAAACGTTAAGTTGGAGAGGTCTCGTCTAATGAAGTCAACGCTCCGTCCCCCTCGTGCTCTGTTTCAAAGTCCCGAAACCTTTCAGCTCGAGTTACAAAACCGTTTTCAGTGCCTAGAAGACTGCAATGAAGTGGACGATATGAATGACAAGCTCGTGGAAACTGTCCATGCGGTTGGAGCTAAGTTCTGCAAGACCCGCCGCAGAAGAACACAAAAACTCTCCGATCACACTCTTAATCTCATGGCTGTTAGACGGGAGATGAAGCTACATTCTTCAACAGACTTGACAGCATACAGGCATCTGAACAGACAGATCTCCAAATGCATGCGGCGGGACTTACGCAACTTCAATACAGCTCGTATTGAAGAAGCGATCGAGCGGAACCAAGGCTCCAAAGTCTTTGCCAGAGATCTGTCTGCCAGAAAGAGCTAACTGTCAAAGCTGAAGACAGAATGTGGCAGCATCGTTTCCGGGACACCTGAGATTTTGAGTGAGATTGAGAGGTTCTATGGGCAGCTGTACACATCATCGTTGGAGCCACACGCAAGTGTGAGTAACGATCCAAGAGCGAGTCTCATCCGACACTATTCCGAAGATATCCCGGATGT